TAATCAAAAATAAAAAACAGACTTCTGATTAACACTAATTAAAACTGTCCATTGTCACCTGAAAAGTGAGCACAGCTAACTGGCCCCAGAAGGTTAAAGTAGTTCTACTTTATGGCACTTGAACGTTTGTGCAATTCCTTACATTTTCCAGTAGATGGAGCACTTTACTGGTGCAATTGAGAGTACCTGTCTACGGTGAATTTTAATAAAAATATACAGGTTGCTGATACTTCACAGCACAATGTCTGAAGCAATATAGGGAATCTATTCAATCATGCAGTGTTGTTATACCTAGCCAGGCTCATTAAACAGAGAAAATTCCAGCCTTGCCAGTCAATCTTCTGCTCACATTGACAGAATTGCTGTTTTAGTCATTAGGTGGAAGAATGCAATAAGAAAAATAGAACTACAATAATTAAATAACCATAAACGGAAATTTGTGTAAGTGTAATCTTTAGAACTTTGGAAGCACAAAAAGAGTAGGAAGTTTTGGACCAAGCATGACAAAAGATAGGGAGTCACAAAATAACATACTGTAGTAAAGTACCTGTGGAGCTTATACTGTACAATGGAAATATGCTTCAATACAGTATTAAGGTTTAATGCACAGGTAAATTCATTCTAGTCTATTGTATTGTGTCAAAACATTTTTAGGTTATATTAATCTAATTTTAATGCAGTTTGAATTCTTACAGATCCTGAACAGATGAAAGTTTGAAAGGTATGAATCAGAGGAGATACAGTAAATGGAAACTATGAGGAAGTGCACTTCAGACTGATAACGTGAGGCAGCTTTTTATAAAAAAAAAGGATATAGGAATTTGAACAAAGTTACACTGCCATGTTTTCAAAGTTAATGCCCTGGCTTCTTTCAACAGTCTGGATACGATCATCAAATTAATTAAATATTTTTTGGATTATTTAGATTATTAAATAATCTAAATAATCCAGAATGAGCCCCTCTCATTTTTAAACTTTTTTATATATTGTGAAAGCAGCATACATGTGTCATGGTACCACATAAACAAATACAACAAGTATAAGAAGATGAAGTGAGATGTCATACCACGTTTAGACGTACTGTAGGATGAAAGCAGAAAAACTCAGGTATTTGGACTGATGAAATGTAGAAAAAAAGTATTTTTATTCTCAGTAAGGTGGATTAGGATGCCTTTCCTCCTCAGAGACTGCAGAAAGCAATTGTTATCCTTATTACGCTAAATGTATTTGATTATCTATATCTTATAGCAACTGCATGGCATGTGGCATGGGTTGAATGACAGTCTCATACAATGCTTTGGTTTTATGCACAAACATACTGTAGTCCTGGGATGAAATACACTGGGATTGCTGATGTTATGCATACAACTCATATGCTGCACGAATAAATCAAAGCAAAGTTGTATTAAACCCACTCACACATTGCCAGTATGTAGTTTCTAATCTTGGAGGATGATTTACAGCATGTCACGTGTTTTGGGGACACGGTCTTATGTCATGCGTCCAAAGGGACAACAGAGTAGGAACACCAAAGCCATCATTTACAAAATTTCAAACATCCCACCAAGACATCACCCTACATGTGCAGCAAGTGATTTTTCACATGGTATTGGATCATCAGCTGGTCTCTCATGGGAGTGACATCTCAGGATACCATCAAGTTGTACAGGGAGAGATAAGACTATCTCCTGTAATTCAGAATAAATTCTGTTGGAAACCTCATAGACATCCCAAACATCTTCTATAGGCAACAGGCCCAGGGTCGTTTCTGACTAAAAGATAGTGCTTCAAGTGTCACAAACATTATTCAAGTGCTTGATAATAGCATATTCAGCTGTGGCATTGTAATCTGCAAAAAACAGTCTTCCACCATTACTGTGAACAATGGGCATGACATGAGATTAAATGGCACTTTCTTGATAGTACACAAATATGGTAGCCTAATTTTTAGACCCACTGTGTGAGTTTTTTTATTTCATTATGTTACACCTGTCTAATTATGCTTTCCCGAGTCTGTAACACAACATTTAACATTTGCAGAGTGCAGACAATTTCTCATAGTTTGTGTTGAGATGTTGGACCCTGTGGCTAGAAGCAGTTGTTTCCTCAGAGGTACTGTTTCTTTATCTTTTACACAGTGCTTTAGAGACCCTATGATGGTGCATCACAATTAAATTCCCATATGAGACCCCATTTGAAATCTGGGTCATATACAGTATACTGCATAGCAAATAAAAAGTACAATTGTATAGAAATTGAACAGATGTCAACACAATATGTTTTAATTTGTGCATTACTTTACACATACAGACCTTAATTCATAGAGTTGAATAACAATGCGATATTTTGGGTTACTGTGAACATTATATTCATAAAATGCATTACAGTGAGGAAAAGGTAAAAGCAATATATTATAGGTGATCATATTTGTATGGCTCTGTGTTGAATATGTTATTGCTTGCATATACTGTATAACAATCAATTAAATCTTTAAAAAAATCTTGTAGATGGAGTTTCTGCACTTTTTTCTTTCAGCTCCACCAAAATGGGAGGGGTGGAGATTTGCTGCTAAGGCTTTAGATTGATTCAGTTGTAGCTTCTAGGTTTGCTGTGTTCAGTGTTGTTTCATGCCGTGATGTGAAAGTAATATTGCACTGTACCTGTGTCACACAAAGGGGTGTCCTTTACCGGGATTTCTTCACCTTTTCTGTCTGCAGAGTAGGGTTTTGAAGTTCTGGCAAGTGTCTACTGAATGATGGTGAAGTGAATCCTGGATGTATATTGTAACGCAACGGGGGTTCAGGTGGGCGCCCTTGGCGCATAAGGTCGCCCCCCCCACCGTCGGGGGCTCGAACCCGGGACTCCCGCGTCACTCAACAGGGACCCAGCCCGGTGAGCTAAAGAGAGATCTGATAGCAGGGCTGTGGTCCTGCTATCACAGAGAAGAGCATGACGTCACCGCTCTAGTAAGCCGGATCTTACACACCCTGATGGCCGTATGCGTTACAATATAATATACCCCAAATGTGACATTGGTGATGCCTCTTGGATGTCTGATGCCATGACGTCTGATGATATCAGTTAATGAGAAAGCTACGGAATTATTGAGTGTTTCAGTGATGTAGCCCTCTGATGTCTAAGTGATACTGTAGCACACCTGTTGGGTTCAATTATTGGTCCTTTGGCTAAGGTAACTTGCTCTTCTGCCTGTGTGCTGTGATATGAATGATGGTCAGGGAGAGCAATTTCACATGACACATACAGTAAGCACTTTCAGACCGCTTCAAAAGCAAGACCCAAAAAAGTTCGTTTTATTGGATCAAGCGGTGTAATCATAAAGAGGTTTAACGAAATGTTGTTTTTCAAGATTTAAATGGATAGTTTCGCAGCACCCGTTCCATGATGTTCTTTTTCATGTTTTTACAACGACATTCTTTATTATTGAAATAATTGATCAGTGTTCTTTAAATCCAGAATCTTCCCGTTTATTCTACAGACCATTGTTGTGTAGCGATTACTTTTGCATTCTTGAAAATTATCCTTCTCGTATAAACGTTTAGTCTATAGGACTATATCTGTATTAAAGAAAGACTGAAATCATAAATAAGATTTCATAAACTGTGACAAAATATTACAGGCTGATGCCTAAGTGATTATGGCGTAGAATTGTTCATTCACTGTTAGATCAAGGAAGTGAAAAAACACTCGATAACGTCAATGTTTACTTGAGTATGTTTGAGAAGCATAACTCATTACCGACGTTCATAGTAACTTTGGACTGAAGATTGATAATTATACTATAGCTATATGTACAGTATTTAAATTATTATGCATGGAAATATTTTTGTGATATAACTGCTGCATTAATTGGTTAATAATCCAGAAAGTACAATTTCTAGAAAATAATTAACAAACGTTAAAATATTACCAATCAATATTTTGCTGGACTACACCTGTTATAGTTATTAGAGTTGTCTGTCTGGTTCAGCCCTTGAGCAGGTACAGACATTTTTGTCTTGCAAATATGCATGCATACGACGGTTTTCGTCCATATGCGTTGTCCTTGTAATGACTTGTTTGAACTTGCAGTCATGTGATGGGGTGATCCTACACGCTGGCTCTTTCTTTGAAGGTGTAGGTCCTTCTCACTTCAGAGACAAAATCGTTAGGATTCATTTTTGTAGACAAAACAGTCGTCTATGAATAGGATGGGTTAGATTCCCGCTCCATATGTTAAACAGTGTAAGCGAGTGAACTCTACAATGTGGCTGTAAGCCAGCTTCAGAAACCTAAGCTAAACTTCTGCAGTCAACGAGGTTGAAATGAGGTAACTGTCGGTCAACAGACTGGAATTCACACACAGTTTCACAGGGAATTCGTAGCAGTATAAGATTATGTTTCTTGATAAAACTAAATAAATGTGGAATACCATGAGTAATTTGTAGGTAATGAAATTTTGTAGGGCATGTAATCCTTTAAACGAAATCCAAACTTCACTCATACAGTGTATGAGATGAAGAAGTTCGAATCAAAGCGAAGCGAAATGTTGTGCCTCAAGTCTTCCTTCCAAAGTGTTTGAAACGTAAGTACTCCTTTTGTAGTTCAGCAACGAGTCCTACAAACAAAAACGAGTTTTTCCTGTTTAGCAAGAACACGATAATCATCTTTCAAAGTCATTTAGCTAGCTTAGTCTCGCCGATTAAAAAAAAAAAAGTTAAGCAGTATACGTGTACACCTCAGTCAATGCTGTCATTTTGCAGGAAGAGGATGCTGTGTTGGGGGACTTATACTTTATTGCGCTCAGAATAGAAGAATACACACTGTTCAAATTGCATTTCCCATTTCAGCAAGACAAAAAAAATATTGGTCTTGGTTTTAAGAGCCGTCACCGCAAGATCATTCGATGTTTAATTAGCATATAGAGCGCTTTCCAACATGTCTTTAGTGCATAGTCATCTTCTGTTTTGCCTACTTTTTCTGATCGAAACCTAAATACAAAAGTGGTTTTTAAAACAATGTGCTTAAAATTCTATAGAAATGAACTGCAATTGCTTCTGAAAAGCTTGCTAGTACTACAACTTCATTCAAGGTTTTTGTCTCCCCGCCTCCAAATCGTAAATTTCGGGGGCTTGACCAATAGGATCGGATCGGCCGATGATCAGATGACTAAAAGAATCTCTATTTAAAAACTCCAATGAAAAACCCAATGCAAAGCTTTCAAAAGGACTGGTACCATTTCAAACTGAGAGGATCTCACACTGACAAAGGCATATTAATTGTTCCTGTGGAATTTTCTGGGACTTTTAAAATAGGAATTCCCCTGTTTTAGCATTTGTAAATCAGGTAGCGAAATGAAAAATACAGTTATACCTCTGTGGATTTTGGTATTGTCGTCTGTTGTTCTTGCGTCTGATCTTGAGAAAGAGGGACTTTTTAAAGGTAAGTCAGAGGGTTCGTGTGATAAGTCATCACGCTGACTGTCCTTGTCCAAAGTTTTGGAAATGATCTACCTTTTATAATCTGTAGATCTGAGTTAAAAGTTGTTCTTCATAGTTTGAAATCGTTTATTCCTCAATTCTCAACGTAACAAATTGCATGCTTAATTATTCAACTTATAGGTGTAGCTTTGCCGATTTATAAACCTGATGTCGATGGATTGTAACGAATCGTGTCGAATCCGTTGTAATGTTAGCTGTCGTGTCAACGAATACGTGTACATCCTTGACATTAACAATTTAATGATACGCTTTGCACCCTTAACGTTTTCTAAACTGTTTTAGACCAATTTATGTTAAATGGCTCATTGATTGCTCTCGGCTTTTTTTAAGCGCTAAATTGATGTTGTTTCAGCTTCCTTCTACTTAAGATGTAAATTTCTCTCCTAGTAAAATGTCACTATAAAAGCTTTCACATAGATAATAACTCATGGCTCTCTATAACCCTTTAAGTTGTACAAATTTATCATGAAGTCTCGTTTACAACACTCAACACTTATTCATATACTAACTATATATTGTAACGTTTAGTATCTGCTTACGCACGTGTTCACATGCACAGTAATGAACCTCAACCCGAAACTCAAATACTCGGTGCCAGCAGAGGGATGGTAAGGGAGTTTGTAAAATAATTGATGCGCGCCAGAGGATTCCTTCAGTTTGTGTAGTTGCCTGGAGACTGAACTTGTAGAAGCGCTGAGTTTTGACGCATGTGGCAAACTTCACCACAGGCTCCTTCAAGATGTTCCGTGGTTACATTCCTAAGGCGCCACGCCACTGTCGATTTGTTCTTGCTTGTCCGGAAGGCGACGGGGCATACTTTCAGCAGCGAAGAGAACTAAATCCGACATCTAAAGTGCAGGTGTCCATGAGTATCACTTTACCTAACGCTGGTTTGCTATGGAACAATAAATCAATCAATTAATATGGAATACTGTGTCAGGGTTTTGCCAAAAGACTGTGGCAGCAGCAAATCAATGTAACCCTCCTGTCTTTTGAATCGGTTATCTGTTTTTTCTAGAACGCTCCGTTTCTTCGCACTTGGAGTGCTTTTGTTCTGTGGGTATTTTCCCACACTGTATACAAGTGACCTTAGGCGGCGCTATAAGCGCTTGGGACTACAGCTGTATGTGCAGTACATTGTTACATTGTGCACACTTCTAGCGATATCTGTATACATATGTTCACTCGTCTAAATCGGGGAACTTTTTACATATTCCAAGAACGCACCAATGGAACACATTTCATTGTATTCTAATTTCTGTCAGTAGAGAATCTTCTAACCATCTGAAAGCCGCATGCCATGGACTTAAGTGGATGTGACTTGCTTTAGTAAGTTTAAAATAAATTATATGCAGTTCACGTAACTCCTCGCACAAGACAACTAGAAGACTTTGTGCTGCATGCCGTCCTTGCAATTATTTGGTATCATAGAAACTTTTCCATTAACACGGACTTGTCACCTTCTGTAAAGATTGTTCTTGTAGAAATATTGGTGAACAGGTTTGAATGATGGGGGAAAATAGCTTTTATTTTGTCGCTCAAACAGGGGGAGGTTGACGTCAAAATGATCCAGAATACAGTTTCACACGAGTTGTAACATTTTTTAATGTGATACTGCATGTGTCCAGCAGCTGTAGAAAAGTAGCCTGTGTGGTCGGCTCCAAGCCAACGACCTGACGTCCATTCTCTGTATGAAACGGTTGTAGTCTGAGAAGTCTTGTGTACAGCGTTTCCTCTTGTTTGACCTACACACCTAACCTGTGTGTGTGACCTCTATGATACGGCTTTATCAAGCATTTGGGAGGACCTTTTATGTGTTTTCTTTTTTTTTTTGCCATAACTTGCTGCTTATTGTAATAGCAGAAGCTGGTATTTTGTTAACATTGTAATGCAAGGATAAGATAACTCTTTAAGAATTGATTTTATATTGAGTTCAATCACAGGTAATCATTTTGGTTATTGTTAAGGTCAGTTTGGCTTTATACCATGTTTTTCTGTTGTTCACCAAAGTTATAACTTTTAATGAAGGCTTTGCAGATTTTAAAATCAGCATTTGTCAGGTACACCTCTGCTTTAAATTTGGAAGTTTCACCGAGTGAAATTAACTGTTTTTAACTTGCAGATGGTGCAATCGCTGACCTGCTGAAAGATGAAAATGGCAGTCATGATACTGGCAACCCCCAAGTGAAGTTTAATATGCGAACGTCCCTGGGACTTGACGACGAAGGTTGCTTTATCCACCTGGGAAAAGCCAGTCTACAGGAGTGTGGCTTCAATGCTACAGCCAAGACATTCTTTGTCATCCATGGGTGGACTGTGAGTATTGTCAATCGTGCTATAGACCTGAGACCCAGGGAGGCACATTGCCTTTCCCCTTTCCTGTTTAATCAGCTGTTGAACTGGCAAATCCTGCACTGCTCTTGAGTTCTGGGTTTGATTGTAGGGTGGAGCATCTCTTGTGTAGATGGTATGTTCTCATTTTATCCTTGTGGGTCTCTCTGGGTCTTCCTGTTAACTCCCACAGTCCAGAAATGTGCTCTCCAGGTAATTTGCACCTCTAAACTTCCTGCTCAAATGTCTGTGCCCTGATCAGGATTGAAGACCCATTCAGGTCCTTGTGTCCTTTACCTGTTGGGTTAGGCTCCAAGGATGTAGTAACATTATAATGATACAGCGCATTCTGAAACTGTTTCATATAGGCCCATGAACCCCACCTTAAAGTATAATGGGGGGAAAAAAAAAACTGATGAATGAAAAGACAAAAGCCGAGAATATCCATTAAATTGTACAATGTGGCAATCATTATAACGAAAAGCTGTTGTATCAACAGCTTTGAAATGCTTTTGCAATCCAGAAATGCAGCTTGTATCCCTTTTTTGAATGTTTTACAAGATTGTTGTGAAGGAAACTGCAAAGCCGTCCTTTTTGACCACAAAGAAAAAACTGCTGCTCGGCCGCAATTCCAAAACTTTTAGCTGGAACTACATGGGAAATCTTGCCTTTTGTGTGCTTGATGGAATGGACTTGTGGTTCAGAATGATCCAGTTTGGTCCTTATGTGGAACTTCCCATTCATCTTAGAACAGTTTGACAACTTTGAATTAAGTTCTATACACTGTACAGGGAGCTCTCCCACCTCCAGCTTCTCGTATAGGTAAATAAAAACCTTATCTTTGTTAATGTTTTCTTTTAATTAATCAATTTAAGAATTAAAGTGGATAGTGGGGAAATCCCTACAATACCTGGATAAGAGATGGTACATTGAGAATTACTTGCAAAAGAGCGTAAAGCTTTCTTTGAGTAAAAAGGAAATTATTCTGTACCTTGGATAAAGACATTTCACTTCTGGCGTGAATTACATCCCAAGCTGATGGTCTTCATCCATACTGGCTTTCAAAATGTTCAGAAACTTTCTTACTTCAGGAACTGAGTTGTCCTGAGCTGTATACAGAGCTTCACGTAAAGATGATTAAATGGAGCTTTTTGCTTTGAATGTTTAGTTACATGAGGCTCCCTTCTTGTAGGGGGGGTTTTGTGTATCCACTATTGTCTGGAAAAAAACGCTAACCCTTGATTTATTGATTTATATTCAGGTGGATATCAGGGCTTTAAGTTACTTTAATGGCCTGTTTGGATAGAGGAGCATTGGCTTTTCGTAGCCAAACAAGTGCAATTTTCAGAAAACATGGGGTATTTATGAAATTATCCAGGTGTTGAATCATTGCCTCTCGTATTAGTCTGTGAGATCTTTTTAAGATCTGAATGGCTTGTTGCAGTTGAAGGCTAACTAAAACATTACTCATGTTTGGGGAAATCTAAGGCAAAAAATGCCTCTGTGAATAATTGCTGTTCCTTATGCTTCTCTTGCAGATGAGTGGTATGTTTGAAAGCTGGCTCTATGACCTAGTATTCGCCCTGCAGAAACGAGAACAAGATGCCAATGTTATTGTGGTAGACTGGCTCACTCTTGCCCACCGGCTATACCCAGATGCTGTAAATAATACCAGAATAGTTGGACACGACATTGCAAAGTTACTGGAGTGGCTGAAGGTACTTTGGTTTTGTATTTGGATTTTTCTCTGCTGATTCATTACAAGACTCTTCTGTAGCCTTTAGCATCTTTTTCTGATGCTCAGGTATTCTAGACTATAGACACAGCATGTAAAATGTTGAAGTAATAATCTGTAGCTAGTATTTATCCCAAGACTGACAAAGTCCTCGATAAAGAGACAGCAAGTTTAGAACTGTTCATTGCAGTAGGTTCTAAAGGTAGTGATTTTATATTGTGCAGGGCATGGGAGTTCACAGCAGTGTTGCTTTAAATGGTGGCTGCAATCCCAAGCATTCCACCCGATTTCTGTTGCATGAGTTTAAGGTTCTTGCCCCAGACAAATGCTAGATTCCCTTAATTTAAGGATTAATCCTTAAATACTGTCTGATTACCAGTTTCAGAACATGCTTTTTTCCCTGTAGGTTGTAAAATAAACAGCTATTCAGTGAACTGACTGTACAGGTAAACATCTAAAAACATTTGAGGGTACAAATGAGAAGAGCACATACAGTATTGCCCTTCTGATCTGTTTGGTAAAAAATGTAAATTATAATTAACAAAACTGTTTATTAAACTGGTTATCTGACCTTGATTTTTTTTTTTTCCCCCCAAAATGTATTACTTGGTTCCAGTTTTGAATAGTCATCGGTCACCACTATCTGCATCTTTAACACATTTCTTTAACACATGTTTTTGCAGAAGGAGCTGACGCTTCCTCTTGAAAACGTGCACATGATTGGCTACAGCCTGGGTGCCCATGTTGCTGGGTTCGCTGGGACCTTTGTACAAGGAACAGTTGGCAGGATAACAGGTAGTGTGATGTTGTTTTCGATTAAAAAAGGGAGAATGTCTGCTGGACTTTCTTGCCTCAAGTATTGTTTTACCACTCATAAGGTTTTCTTTTTCTTTGCTAGAATGGATTTGTTGATTGACAGACAAGTTCGAAAGCTGTAATTCAGCTGAATAGCAGATCTTCAGCCTATCTTTAAGATTTTGGAGTGTAGCCTTGGTATGTTATTCCGAAAGGTCATCTGAGGTACACTCATGTTATAAAAAGAATGTCTGTATTCTTGGTTATGTGACATTTTTAAAAGCCTTAATATTGCTTGAAATCCTGTCACAAATGACCTTTTTGGGGGATATTCTGTACAAGGAAAGATAAGAATAAGCACAAAGGTCAGTTTAAAGTTTCACAAATCTCCCTTTATTGGAGGGGGAACAGCTCAGCTTTCTGAAAACCTAGAATGACAAGAGTGCCTTTCTCAGATGGATAACTGGATTCTACTTGCCCGCAGGTCTGGACCCAGCTGGCCCCATGTTTGAAGGTGTGGAGTCCGATCATCGCTTGTCTCCAGATGATGCTGACTTTGTAGATGTCCTTCATACCTACACCAGGGAGGCCCTGGGAGTTAGCATTGGCATCCAGCAGCCGGTTGGGCACATAGACATCTATCCCAATGGAGGAGACTTCCAGCCAGGCTGTGGATTAAGTGAAATGCTGAGCACCATGGCCTATGGTGGTGAGTGCTTCTTAAATCTTAGTGCGATCAAGGTCTAAATCCATTTTTTTGGGGGGTGGGGGGGATGGGTCAGGTGAGAATTAACATTCATGTTCCTAGTTGTAGCTGTTGCCCTATGGCAAAACAAATTTGGCACTTGAACCAATGTAGGTTTGCTTGTCTGCAGTAGCACTGATGGATGCTGTGGTCTTTCAGGTATTGGGGATGTGGTGAAGTGCGAGCATGAGCGTTCAGTGCATCTGTTTGTCGACTCCCTGTTGAACAAAGATCACAAGAGCTTTGCCTATCAGTGCACTGACCCAGGCCGCTTTAAGAAGGGGATCTGTCTGAGCTGCAGGAAGAACCGCTGTAACAACCTGGGTTACAATGCCAAGAAGATGCGTAAAAGGAGGAGCTGCAAGATGTACCTTAAAACCCGAGCTGACACTCCTTTTGGAGGTAACTATTTTTTTTTTAATGGAACGGTAAGGACGTAGGACAGCATGACTTCTAGATGTCCCCCACAGCTCAAGTAGCCGTCTTAAAACTTCAAAGAGAATCTGTGACTTGAATTTCCACAGCTGAGTGACTTTAAAACCTGTATGATCTTCATGTATAATTAAAATGTCAAGAAAGACCAGCTGTATTTGTTTTCCTTTTTGGAGCAACTTGTAGTAACTAGTTTCTTGTTCAGAAAATATTGGTAGCTAGCTTGGAAGATTAATTTAAATTCTCTTTCAAGGGTACCATTACCAGATGAAGATGCATGTGTTCAGCAAAACAGATGCCGAGGATATAGACCCTACACTTCATGTTAAGCTGTATGGTGCCAGTAACGACTCTGAGGACATACTTGTTGAACTGTAAGTGGTCAGGAAATAACTTTGTTCTTGAAATGGTGAATCCAATTTTGGAAAATGACATTCTTCTGTGCTCATTAAGGCCTAATAGAACCATTAGCATCTCCATAAAGTAATGTTAACTGTGCTTTGTGTGACTAAAGCTTCTTTTTACTGTTCCAATATATGGATTCCCTTTAATGTTCAACATTAAAGACTAGACTGCAGGATTCTATTAGTAGAGAAGGATGGTGCATGGAGTAAATTTACTTCCTATTTATTGTTTCTTTTACACACCTGCTAGAAAGTACAGAGTGTCTGTACTAGAGTGTATTTTAACCAAGGTGTGGCACCATTCCAGACAATATAGGCATGTTGTAATTGGTTTTACTACAAACAAAGCATCTGGGATGGGCATATTGCACCACATCCCATTCTCCAGCAACTTCCTTTGCTTTCCATCATTTCAGAATTTCCCTCACCATAGAGACTTATTGACATTTCCTAATGTAATTCAATTTCAACGTAACTGCCTTTTGATCCTTTTTGGAAAACCAGATCACACTTACCGCTCATGACTCTTTCTTCATATTGTGTAACATTGTTACTTTTATTTCTGTTATCATAGACCTGGAAAGCTTGGCCTGAATTTCACTAACACTTTCCTGGCATTTACTGAAGAGGACATTGGGGACCTTTTGAAAATTAAGCTCACTTGGGAGGATACATCCAAGTCCTGGTCAACGTTCTTTAAAAGCTGGTTGACCTGGAGAAATCCTGCCCAAGACCAAGTGTTGATGGTTCGGCGAATCCGTGTGAAATGTGGAGAAACGCAAAAGAAGTGAGTGAGACTTGGTGTCTTTTTTCTTTTTTTTTTACGCTCAAATATTTGGAAGGGAGTTCCAGGCCTAGAGGGAAGGCAGTTTTATTTTATCACTAGTACTTTGACAGTTTTACCCACCCTCATTATAATGAAGAAAGATTTAGTCTTACTTCAAACTTTAGATTCCAGCTGGTGTATATGGTGACACTTGGATCCTGCTGGTATTTTAACGCCATCTGTGAAAAATTCCTTTATATATTGACTCCAAACACGTTGCATCTTGTAGCTAAATGGTTTGAAAGTGCTTGTTGCCCACCCCCCACCTTGAATAAATTTAATCTAGAAATGCACACGTACATGGGTTAAAAGTCGACTGGGCTTTTTTACACCAAAAGCTTGGCCTTATGGCCTTTTCTCTTTCTGTTTTGTAATGTCATTTATTGCCACACAGCTTTAAGTGCCTTGGGGCAACCTTGTTGTGAAAGGCGCTATGTAAAAATGAATTGAATTGTGACTAGCTATGCCTAAAAATAAAATGCCCCCATGCAGGTTCACATTCTGTGCTCAAGATCCTGATCTTACCAAGATCTCCCCGGGGAACGAGATTAATTTTTTGAAGTGTCGAGATGGGTGGGAAGTCAAACCACGAAAAAGGTAAATTTGAAGATCCCTCCAGGAAGGAGGCACCTTCTAGATCATTGCTGACTTTCATCTATGAAATATGACTGAAAGTTACGTTCAAGGGTTATTCAGATACTTGTAACAAACTGTTTCATCTCTAAATGGAGATGTGTACTACATAATGTAAGTATGGCACTTTACTGATAAAATTGCTGTATAGCACTTGGATTTCTAGAAATCCAATGACTTTTAAATAGTCATCTGAACTCTTAGGACAACTAATAACACTTGAGTCATGCTGGACTTAACTCTTAAGAGTACAGCATAACCGATTCATGAAGGATTCTTCGATAAGATTTCTGATGCATCTATATTTTTTATTTATTGCAGATTGCATATGTAAATGCACTTTGGGGGGGGGGACCTGGAGCTACAAGACTGAGGAGACCCAAGATCAAAAGCCAGAAAGAGCTCATTCCACAAGAGCACTTATGAAGGGAATTTTAATAGCACACATGAAAGTGAAGGAAAGTCACCTTGAGACCATGGCAAGGGATGGATGGGATGGAAATGATGGCTGGTGTCAAATGTTTACAGAACTGATTGAACTACCATTTTGCCAAACCATCCCCACATAATCTGCATAAGCACGGGCACTAATTGATTTGTACTGATCAGTGGGCATATTTAGTAACTTGTACCTGGTAAATTATAAAAAGCAAAAGCACTGTGAAATGAAGGACCCCAGTATATGGAGATGTACATCTGAACAAGGTGCAAGAGGTATAAGCAAAATTGTTCTTGTTTCTTTTTTTTTTAAAAAAAGAATGAAAGCACAAATGGTATAATATGTGAATACAATGTATTTGCAAGATGCCACAATTTGACTGGGTTAGTCTTGTGACATCACGACAGTTTAATTTTCACTTACCATAAGTGGAGTATAGGTCATGTACTGTAACTTATTTGCGAGATGAACGTTGTACATATCTTTTGTGGAAATAATAAATTTGTCACTTGTTTATAATCGGTTATTTTAATTCCTTTTTTTATTTGGGAACTATGGTGACTATACCCAATACTGAACACTGGAAAACTAACCTTGTATAGGTTGTATAAAAACCCATTTTGGAATTTCCTGTTTAAGATCACTTTCTGGCAGCAATTCCTGTGCTGCAGAGGAAGGTAAGGACTGGCAGACCTGCTCGTCATATACACCCACCTGCTACTGAGGCATTGCATGCTTCTCATTGCCTGACGGGAGAGATTCAATGTATTGGAGGAGCAGCAGACTTCTCTGTGACCTCACTGCAGGTGCACCACATGTATTGTTGTGGGTGCTTGGTGGAATTTATGTGCGTTAAGGGATTTTCTCTTGAGGTTGGCTGCTTCCATGATTCCAGCCTGGATCCACCTGCTTTCTGATCTCTGCATTTACTGGTCAAGCTCACCTAGGTCCCTTAGTCTGCTCTTTATAGATCAAAGTGCATTTTTAATGCCTAAATTATTGCTACAATTGCAATATTGCAGAATTAAGTTATATTTAGTTTCTATTGTGTTCCTTTTTGCACTTCTAATTTCTAATTTGAAAGGCTCTGTTCATATGGAAATCCCCTTTTGCAATAGGAAACCTATCATCATGTCCAGATGTTAGTAGAAGGCATGAATCACTTCATCTTGGTTGCAATGCTTATGCGAAAGTTATTCTGTAACTGGCACTAAGCCAGTGATGCAGCTGCAAGTGCTCGACAAGATGTGGGTGTTGATAATGGTAGATAAATTAGTCTTGCATCACGCACCTGGGTTGAGAATCTGAATCCACCAGGCAGGACCTCACCCTACCCTGCAGCGCACCATTGTGCTGGTTTCCATCAAGACGCAAGTGTTGTACAAGGACATAACGCTTCTACTGGAGAGATTTCCTCAAAACTATGATGACAGTATCTTTGAAGTGTCTTTTTTTTGTATTCTCATCTATGCGCGAGACTTTGAATGTTCACTGAGGATTTACGTCATCTGTTCACAAAAGGCAGAGTTATCGAGCTGACAGTCACCACGGTTTACAGTCATTCGTGACAATCCTTCTAAAAATTTGGAACATACAAAAACCACTAGCGTACAGTGCAATAAACATCAAGGAATAGTCATTTAAAAAGCACATCCAATTACTAAAAAAATCAAAAGTAGATAAGGCTCTTGCAATGTAAGACCTCTTTTGCAAACTCTTGTTGTGACAGCAGAACATTTCATGGATATTCCTTGTTTTCTTCAGATTCATGAGATGCAACAGTAGAAAGTGTCTAATGTTCTAATGTGGCTATAGAGATGAGCAATCCTGACATTTTCAGCAGATTTCAAATGGATTTGTTGGGGAATTTTATATAGACTCACAATGAATTCTAAACTACCTTTTCCAGTGTTTTGATTTGCTATTTAGAAAATGAAACTAAAAGGCCTAAAACAGTTGCTATTAAGCATTTTCATACCCTCCCCAAATGCTAATAATATTTATTAAGTATGCAAATAAGATCAGCAACAACATTGGGAAAAGTAACTTTATAGCTACTTTAAAAATAATTGCTCTGTAATGCACCTACATCACCCTTAAATTAATTTAGAAATCAAACTTCCATTAAGCTCTTTTGTACCCTAAACTCTCACATTTTTTAAAATGCTACCTTACTATTCTATAGTATAATCTGAAATAGTCAATGTCTGTTGAATTGTCACATTGTCCTTGGCAGTATCATTATCTGAAAAGTTTGCTCATTGAAAATTACTCAACCCTTGATCATCACTTCATGATGTGTCACGGAAGGTTTTCAGAGGTGGCAACCAAGACAAATTTCCCCTGTGCTATTAGTTTACCATGAAAGCTCCAGAAAGCGTAAGAGCTGTTATCAAAATGTTAACAGCCCATGAAAACTGTGAAGGGCCTGGGTGGGTGAGATTATGACTGGCTGCCATGCCTGCTTTTTAAAAGACCGCTTTTGTTATTGAGGCTCACATTATTTATCGCAATGAACTGAGCAAAACAAATACCCCATTGCTAACCAGTCATTCAGTTCATTTTTTAGCTGAAGAATTAGGTCAAAAAGACTGTTAAACACACTGTCAAGGCACCAGAGTGTATGTCTGAAACACTTTTTTTTGCCATTAATTATTTAGCCATTAATTAATGCTGTTGAATTAGCTCACAATGATTTTTAAGCTTTAGTTGAAAGGAGAGAGATGGGGAAGAAGCTCTATTTCTACAGTTTTTCCTCTCTTTCTCAGTCCTTTATGTATTGCAAGTTTACATTTAATTTCTGTTTGCCATGTTGAGTTCTGTATTAGAAGAATGTTTGATTTTGTCTGTCACTTTCAGGGTTTAATTGCCACAGATACATTTAATCAAAGTCTTTGTTATCAAAACTAATAATCCCTTTCTTTAACCTGTCCACATATATACAGTATGTTCTGGTCTCATTGTCTTTTTACTGCATGTTGAAAGTAAGGTAATGATGATTAGTGTCAACCTATGGCCATGATAAAAAGAAGTAGATATTAAATTTAAAATTTTGGAGAAGTTACTTACTGCTACAGCAAAAGGTGATGTTTATAGTTCAAAAACAGCCATAGGTTTTGCTGTGAATTATATGCATATTATATAATTAAAAATATGAAGATATAAATATTTTTTCTCTTATTGTAAGTTGCTTTCCAATACAAAATTGAAGATCGGGGTATACAGAAAACAAAGATTGAAATTTACACAATTTGAAAACTGGAAGATAAATGCTTAATCCAGATCACCCTCATTATCAACCAAAATGATGGAATCAGAATCAATGCGAAACCTGCTTCATCTGGGGTTAATGATAAACTTTTTTTTATTGGCCCTTTGACAACAGAACAGAGAAACTGGCAAACTGGCCTGTCACATTTGAACTTTAGAGTTTTATTTTTTACAACTGTTATATCTGCTAATTCAACTTCAGTGGAATTTAATTCATCACCACAATGCAAAACTACTTTATGGAAACTTTTATAAAGGTTAAAATAGAAACATAATGCGTTAAAAATCTCTAGGTTGCTAATACCCTGCTGCTTTACAAGATTCACTCAAGTTTTAGTATCAGCTAGATACAGAGAAACATTTATTTATGTCAGAAGTTCAAAAACATAGACTAACATTGAAAATCAATGCATTGTTTTGAATAGTAATGCACTTCAAGTAACCACATGGGTCACTACTGTGTATGGTAAATTCAAATATCTCAATCTCAGCAGTGATTAGAAATGTGTGTGCACATACTTGAGAAATATAGTCAAAGTCAAACACATATCCCAGACTTCCATCAACATTCTAAACAAACAACATTTTTGGCATAACCACACAATCGCACTTTAAATACTAGCTTAATGCAAGCCAAAAAGACCACAAAATGGGAGTTTACTTTGTAGTTTACTCTCATATAAAATAATATAGGCTCAGAACTCAGCTGGTTCTTCCAGTTTTCAAACCAATTAAGCTCTTAGTATACACAGATCAGAATAATACTGTATTAAACACTTCCACAACAAAAGCCCTTTTACAGTTTATTCTGCAGGGGTGGAATTACCTACATTACCCAGACCTGTTGGTACTGTAGGTGAGATTGCAGGAAATAGGTTCAGATCTGATCAGATCAACTAGTGACTAACCCTATACAGCTTCTACAGAGTCCTACTAATTAACTTAAGATCAGTAGTTTAAATTGAGAGCTTCGGTGGAATACAAATCAGAAGACACAGGGGTACTTCAGGGTCAGGGTATAGAACCTCTTGCTTTGAAAACACCTGATGAAAAATACCAGAAATGAACTACTCGGAACTGCTACATTTTCCAAGAAATCCAGTGGGAAAATGCCAAGCAGTTCTAAAACTCAGGTCAAAGCGATTACTGGAATTCTAAAATAAAACCTAAATTAAACAAACTGGGAACTGCAATTTTTTTAATTAACTCCTATCATCAATGCTACATCATTGGCATCACATGATTAATGCTGAAGAAATTAGATCTGGAAATTTCTCCCAAGATTCAAGAGGTATAAAACTACATAAAACATTCATAGTTTCGACATCAGTATCCTAGTAAAAAAGCCTTCTTAGCTGTTTCCAATACAAAATGTATGTACTCACTGTTAAAAGATTATAAATGCTTTGCATTGCTGAAGGCATTTGTACCCTGTCAATCCTTTATTTAACTAGATCAGTCAACTGAGAACAACTGGACTTTATTAGCAATGGGGTTTAAACAAAGGGAAAATATTTCTCCAACCTCATTGGCTTTGTTCACTATTTACTGTGACAATAAGGGACAGGGAAACAAACATGGCCCAGTAAAACTAAACAAGGGAAAATACAATCTTAAAACAGACAGAAAACATTCATAAGAAGTTTTTCCTAAGAGCAAATATCAACCATCAACGAGTCAAGCCTATGACTAAAAGAATCCACAGAGATGGATTGCTCGGATTTTAACTTTCCTGGTGGCTTATTCCAATCATTTGCAGTTGTAAACTGAAATGAAAAACAACGAAGCACAGAAGAAACCCTGAGGACAACAGATTTAAATAAGGAATGACACATTCAGGAAGTACATTACAATCATGTTTTTATGGGGTTACTATTATGATTTTCTAAACTCACTGGAATTTTATCAGTGATTTACCTTTTCAATCTTTCACTTTCATTTATTGCCCAGGCCTAAGTATGTGAATTTCAGCTTTCAGAAGTGTTGAATATAATACTTCAAGAGCACATACTGTAGTGTAGAGCACACAACGTCCTGTGAAGTGCAATGGAAAAAACTGGTATTTAACACTTTTAGGTGATACGAAACAGGAGACGTTTATATGGTAACAGATATTTCTGTGTCCTATTAATGCCTTTCACAGGGGCAGAGTCATTCCATTTAGCATGTTAAGTTGTCATTTTGCTGAAGAGAAGGCTTGATGTTTGTTGTCTCTGTTATATTTGTAATATAAAGTATGGTGTCTTTTCAG